CACACTCCTCTGCCCCTGTATATTCCTTCAGGTGAACTGCTATGAAATCTAGTTGAACCATCTTCATTCTATCTTATTTAACTGCAGTGTGAGTTCATTTCCTGCATGAAAAGCACACACACACCAGGGTTTCAGTCACTGCTCTGTTGAAAGCATGCAGATTCATTACCTGAGTCTTCTGAAAGCACTGGCATGGCTTTGTTTGTAATCTTAGACACAAATGTTCAACTTAAATCAACACGACTGCTTCTTCTTTCTGGACTGAGAGTCAGAGGCAGTTCTGAAATCAGCAAAGAATAAAAATCTAAGTTCAAGCACGTGAGAAGAAGGGAGATCATGTAAAAGCAGTCATTTACCACTATACATTTTTCTGTTTGGTATAACCTGAGTCAGGCACAACCCTGCAGTTATTCCGTGCATGCAATAACACACAATAAAGTAAGATACTGTGTTATATAATAACATCTTGTACAAAGCTGATGGCAAAGTGAACAGATGCTTCCCTGTTCTACTCTCAAGAGAGCCACAGTTTTAAAAGGCCTAAAGAGTCATTGAAAAATGAAAAGAGAAAGCACGATACAGAATGGAAGGCTGAAAACACTGATCAGCACCACATGCACAGGAACAGAGTGCGCAGGATGATGCTATCATGAGATGTTCTGGCACTCCAAAGCGGGCCGTGCTACAATTAGAAGCAACTCATTAAAGCTAGCAGGAGTCAACCTTGGGCATGGTAATAAGGATGCTACAAAAATTACAGCTGACTACAAAAATCCGTTGTACAAAAAAAATGCCATTGGATGCTTTTATAGCTGACTTCTCTGGAGGGCAAATGACTCTGGAAAATTTACATTTCAAAGAGCAAAACTGAATCATAGAATCATAGAATGGCCTGGGTTGAAAAGGAGCACAGTGCTCATCTGGTTCCAACCCCCTGCTGTGTGCAGGTCACCAACCAGCAGCCCAGGCTGCCCAGAGCCACATCCAGCCTGGCCTTGAATGCCTCCAGGGATGGGGCATCCACAGCCTCCTTGGGCAACCTGTGCCAGTGCCTCACCACCCTCTGGGTCAAAAGATTCCCCCATAATATCCAACCTAAACCTCGCCTGTCTCACTTTAAAACCATTCCCCTTGTCCTGTCACCATCCACCCTCACAAGCAGCTGTTCCCCCTCCTGTTTATACGCTCCCTTCAAGCACTGGAAGGCCACCATGAGGTCTCCCTGGAGCTTTCTCTTCTCCAAGCTGAACAAGCCCAGTTCCCTCAACCTCTCCTCATAGGAGAGCTGCTCCTATGAGTGCTCTGATCATCAAAGCAACACACTTATTCAATTAACTTTCAAGGTTGTTTCTACTACACACTGCTTTACAGAAATAAGCACGTTCCATCCTCTGTCCCTCACTTCATGCCGGAGCAAACATACACCCAATTCATTCAACCAGTTTGGTTCATTCACTACTCCATTTCACTTGACATTTACTTAACGTGTTCTCTGATCATCAATAAAGTCAACTTTAATTGCCTGCTGTCTTTGTTAGAATATGTGCCTCCCCCAGCCACACCAAAACCAAAGCAAACAAACTTGTCTTCTAGACTCTTAATCCAAAAGCATCCTGCCCAGGAGCCTGGAAAACTGCTTTAACATCTGAAAAACCCAACAGAGAACTGTGGGGCACCGGATTGGTGTTAGAATGGATGTTTCTCCCAAGGGACGATCCCATGCTCTGTAAAACCCCACCAGGCTGTGCTGCTGGGCTGAACGCTCAAAGGAATGCCGTGCATCTCGTGCCCAGCCATTAACTGCTGGTGTTCTCAAGGCACTAAACTCAACCCCAGGCACTCGGCACGTTGCAAGGGAGGCTGAAAAACCAAAGTGCCCTTTTTGCGCATGGGCTCAAGTGCCTTTTTTGCCTAAAATCCCCCCACCCGTGCCATTAACTCCTTTTGTAGAGCGCTCTGCTGGACGAGGCCTGCTGCCCACGGGCACAGCGACGGCACAGCCACCACCTGAGGGAACGAACCTGCTGCGGTTCAGCCTACGGCGGGCTCCTGTAACCTACAGGGCCGAGGGGGGGAAACTGCTCACGCCAGAAGGCGGACATCAGCCCAGCGAGGGGAGAGATCGCTCGGAGCGGACGGCGGCTGCAGCACGGCACAGCTCCATCCCGCTCCGCCCGCACGCCCCGCTCCATCCCCGCCCCCCCGCACCCTCAGCCGTGCTCTGCAGTCGCCTCTCGGCCGCCCCGAGCGCTGCCCCGTCCATCAGCCCATCCCCGCACCTCAGAGCCCGGCCCCGCCCGCCCGCAAAATGGCGGCGCCGCGGTCCCTCAGCGTCACGGCCGTTACCTGCGGTGTGGGCGCGAAGCCCCGCGTTGCGCTGCGCTGCCCGTCCCGACGGAGCAGCTCCCGCCTCCCGCGCTCCGCTGCCGGCCGCGCTCATGCGCTCCGAGAGCCGCTGACGCACCGCCCTCCTCCCCTCCCCCGAGCTGCCGGGGGGGCGGTGGGAAAGGCCCTCAGGATGAGGGCTTTGAGAGCCCGCCGCCTCCCTGGGCAGCCCGCGCGGTGCTGTTAGCTTTACTGTGAAGAAGTTTTTCCTCATGTGAGACCTACTGTGTTCCAGCTCGCACCCACTGCCCCTCGTCCTGTCGTTGGATGTCGCTGAGAAGAGCCTGGCTCCATGCTCCCGACACACATCCTTTACATAGTTATAAATATTAATGAGGTCACCCCTCCTTCTCCTCCAAGCTAAAGAGCCCCAGCTCCCTCGTCAGGGAGATGCTCCACTCCCTTCATCCTTTCTGTGGCTCTGCTATCGGCTCTCCAAGCAGTTTTCTGCCCTTCTTGAATCGAGGGACCCAGAACTGGACACAATATTCCAGATGCGGTCCCACCAGGGCAGGGGAAAGGGGAGGAGAATCGATCTTTCCCTGCTAACCTCAGCCCTGCTAACGCACCCCAGGATGCCACAAGGGCACAGTGCTGTAAGGGTCACCCTGCTGTACCCACAGGTCCCTTTCCTCTATGCTGCTCTCCAACAGGTCAAACCTATGCTGGTAGCTGGGGTTGTTCATTGCCCAGCATTGTGAAGAGCAGCAGAGTCATAAACGCTGGATAAGACCTCTCAGATCCCCAGGTCCAACCCCAACCCACCCCCACCATGGCCCCAAGTGTCACATCCCCATCATTCTGGAATACCTCCAGGGATGGTGACCCCCCTCATCCCCTGGGCAGCCTTTGCCGATGCCTGACTGTTCTTTGGAGTAGAAATTGTCCCTAATGCCCCACCCGAACCTCCCCTGGAACAATGTGGGGGCACATCCTCCTTTAAACACAAGAACATCAGGTTGGCCACGACCGAAGGTGGAATCTACAGACAAGCTGCATGGGTCTACTGCTGGTTAACCTCAAACCCACCCTGCTGTACTCGTTATAGAGCAATCTTGCTGTTCTAGAATACAGCTTCACCAGCACACGTAGCGGTGAGCAATGAGTGCATTGCTGAATAAGGCACGAAGTGCTGCATTTGTGCAGTGCAAGCAGCCCCTGCACTGAGCAGCGTGCTTCCCCCACAAGCTGGAGATTCACCTTCAAGGAAACTGAATCCCTCTTCTTTTGAACTGGGTGACCACCATCATCTTCGAAAGCCTGAAAGCATGCAGAACCGGCAATAAGTGAGGCAGGAATTTTAGAAAACCTCAGTTTCAACTTTGATGTCTACAGCCTTTGTACGAATGTAACCCATAATCTCTAAATAAACTCCATCTAGTTAAGCTGAATCTGTCTAAAGTGGGATTTATGTCACTGACAGCAAGCAACATCCAAAATAATGCTCCCTCCCCACATACTTGTAATCTGACTTTAGATGTAGCATGCAGAGATAGAGGAAGAGTTTAAAAAAAAAAAAAAAGAGAGAAAGAAGAGCAATGATCCCTAATATCTTAATCATCATTAAACCATCAGGGCTGACGTGTTTTGTCCTTGCGTATTGCTGTGGAAAGGATTGGCTGAGGACGTTTGAGAGGTTTGGGGGATTTTTGTTTTCCTTTAAGGAGATGGGTGATGGAAGACATTGCAGAGTGAGAGAACAATAAAAGAAATGCAGACACTGCTCCCCAGGGCTGAAGACGGAACAAACAGGCTTCTATCGTGTGGTGTGAACATCTTAAAGATCCTTCTGTAGCACACGGTAAAACACTGACATTAAACTCTGCACACACTAATAGCTTATTCAGAACTGAAGCAACACACAATTACCAGTGATTATAGGCTGTTTTCTAAAAATGCCAATAAACACCGGCCACTATCTTATAATGAGAATGATTTGCCAAAAATCAGGTGTTGGAATGAGTGACTTGAATTACAGTGCTGCTCTTATGTAACTGAGAATTAAAATACTAATTATTTTTGAGGAGGAAAAAACACTTTTTAAATATTAATATGCTGGGCAATAAAAATCACTAGCCTAACCCCAATTAGAGCTTCTAACACAATTAATAATTGCCAATTTCGGATCTTTTCTGTCCATTAAAAAACATGAGAACTGCATTAAAATCACTTAAGCTCTTAGGGAGCTCTTCTGAACAGCATCTCTGCTAATTGGACCATAAACACAAATGCACAACTCGTAGATGTAATTACTATCTAATTCTGATAGATAAGACCTCGTTTGCCTTTGCAATCTTTATTTTCATTTAAACTCGGGCTAAGCATTAGCATGATCGCATCCCTTTAAACGCTGACCTATTTCAGGAATTCCCTTTAAAATCCCGGAGCTGCCGGCAGCTCGGCCTCTCGGCGGATGCCTGGCAGCCGCTCCCGTCATTATTCTCACTCCGCAACCCGGCTGCTACAGCGAGACGAGGTTGGAATACAGCAGGGCGCCGGCTGCGTGGACCAAAGCGGGGCTGCCAGGCGCTGGGGGGGGGAAACCTCACTGCCATCCCGATCCCCTGGGACTGAGCGAGCTCCGCTCCGCCCCGCTGCCGCCCACCGGCCCGGCTCTCCCGTCGGCTGCGGGCAGCGCTGGCGGCGGCTCCGGCTGAACGGGAATCCCTGCATCCCACATCCCGGCGAGGGCATGGCTGCAGTGAGGAGGAAGTTCGGCGATGAGTACCAGGCGGTGGGCCCGGCCGCTGCCGGTAGCCGCAGAGAGCGGCAGCGCTTTGTGGACAAGAACGGACGTTGCAACGTGCAACACGGGAACCTGGGGGGTGAGAGCAGCCGTTACCTCTCCGACCTCTTCACCACGCTGGTGGATCTCAAATGGCGTTGGAACCTGCTCATCTTCCTGCTGACCTACACGGTCGCCTGGCTGGTCATGGCTTCCATGTGGTGGGGCATTGCCTACCTGCGAGGCGACCTGCACCGGGCACACGATGACACCTACAGTCCGTGCGTGGCCAACGTGTACAACTTTCCCTCTGCCTTCCTTTTCTTCATAGAGACCGAAGCCACCATTGGCTACGGGCACCGCTACATTACCGAGCGCTGCCCTGAGGGCATCGTGCTCTTCCTCTTCCAGTCGCTGCTGGGCTCCATCGTCGACGCGTTCCTCATCGGCTGCATGTTCATCAAGATGTCGCAGCCCAAAAAGAGAGCTGAGACCCTCATGTTCAGCCGTGCCGCAGTGGTCTCGCAGCGGGATGGCAAGCTCTGCCTCATGTTCCGGGTCGGCAACCTCCGCAACAGCCACATGGTTTCTGCCCAGATCCGCTGCAAGCTGATCAAGGTGAGGCCTGGAGTGGAAGCAGGATGAGGCAGCAGGTTGTGGTGGGTGATGCTGGGAGAGCACGGGTCGAGAGAAACCACTTGCCCCAAGAGCAGCCAAGCTGCCCTGAACCCCCTTTTTGTCCCTCAGGGGGGCTTTCACTTGTAGTTCCTTACCCCATGGGTCCTGCCTGTGGCCTTCCAGCACTGCAGAGCTTGAGTGGAAAAGCCTTTGATTTTCACTGCTATCTATCTATTAAGCACTGACAAGGGTCAGCATAATTCAGAATGCAAAAAAAGGGCTGGAACTCAAATTCAACTAATAGATAAATAGAGGAGGCAGAACTGTTTGGCAGCCATGGGAGACCTCAGATACACTGGGCAAGAATAGAATAGGAGGAAAATACTGTGTGGTTGAGTGGCATGTCGAGAGGAAGCAACAGAACAGCTCAGAGCAGCTGTGTCTTGTCACAGGGGCATGCCTGATGGGCTGCATCAGCAGCTGAATCCTGATGATTATGTTAATTTCAGAATATGAATGTCATAAATGTTTCATGTTCTCTGTGATAATCCTCTTTTCGGAGCAACTGCTTGGCCATTTTAATAATCTGCAGAAACAAGCCTGATACAGTAGCTGATAAGACAACAGTAAATGTGAAGGACTGCTTTTCCTCTGCTTTGTGCTGAATGCTTGACTTAGCTGCTAATTTTTCTTGTCAAAGAATTCCTTTTAAAATGGAGCTCTACTAAGATTCAAAAAGCGGTTGGATTTGTACATGAAAAAGAACTGCTGAGAATTACAATGGAGCATTTTTGTAGGAATCAGAAAGCCAGATAATCCATTATTTTTGCTGATTTCTAGCACCGAAAATGATCAGAAATCCTCCTTTAAAGTATTTGTTTCTGGCCATCATCCAAGATGGAATGCAAGTCAAAGCAGAACAGGAGCAGTTTCACAGCTGTGATTTTTACACTGATGGCAATTCACTGTAAACTTCTTTTGAAATGACACACTGAACACACAGCCTGGTGCACTGCTAATAATTCTATCGCTGCACAATGCTGGTTTGTAGAGAAAACAGGAGAGCATTTGATAAGGACTGATTCATCTTACAATAGTTGTTTCACACATTAAGCAGTGAAGCCCTGAGTAATACCTGAGCTCTTGCAGCTCTTACAAATGATCACCAATGCCCTTGATTTGTCTTCAAGCTTCTTGGCGACCTTTGGCAAATCAAAGCTATTGCCACAAGAATGTTTACAAGTAAATGTGCACAAGCTGCACCCTCAATGCCCACTACAAGTGGTGTCTTCTAGCCCACAGTAGCCCTCAGCCTTCTAAATCCTCACCAGTTTGTCGAGGTGCCCCTTGAACAGGACATGCTGTCCCAGCAGAGGCAGCAGCTGTTCCAGCAGCAGATGAATTTACATCAGCTGCTTTGCAGCAGCTTCCTTTGTGCATCCTGTAAGCCCATGATGGATGTGATGTAACTCCCAAACCATCTCTCTGTAGCAAGTCCTGCCTGTTTTGTGCTCTGTGCTTTTGGCTGTGCTTCCTGCAGTGCTGCTGACAGCTGATCTTGCTACACTCCTGTGTTGGATTAGATAGCAAGATGTTTACTTGTGTCACACAATGTGAAGGAGTGTGCCTTACCCCACTTTGCCATTGAGATAGGAGCTGTATTTAGTATTAAGCTTCATGTTTCAGTTGGAGTAATGGAGGTCTTACCTTTGTTTTTTTTAAAATAAAAAAAAAAAAGTACACCAATCTAAGTCTGTCTGAGTGGCATGACAAATGTCCTAGGATATTCAGTAGATTTCACTGATAACCATCATAATGTTGGTATGACAGCTTTCCATAGAGTTTTTCAGCTGGTAGCATAGGAGAACTTGATTTGGAAAGCTGAGGAATGTAGAATCCAGTGGCAGAAAGGTACAGATGAATAAATCTACACACCTAAGGAGTTTAGGTTTTTTCTTAATTGTGAGGCAAATAACCTTCGGTGCAACTCACGTAGACCTTTGGATTTCCCAACTGTTGTCACATTGAAAATCAAAGCTGGGGCATTTCTAACTATTTGTGTCCTGGTGCATTCATCTGTGAAAGTTATCTGGCTTTGTGGGAGGTCAAAATAAAGAATCTCAGCCGTCCCTTCCAAACTGCTGGCAGTTTACAGTCCTGTGCTGCCCTTCTGTGCTCCTCTGAGCACAGCTGTGTGCAACAGAGGTTGATGGCTGGAAGTCTTAACATGTGAGAGCTGTGAAACTCTTTGTTTAGGATCGTTTATTTTTACTTAACAAATAAGCTCCTCTTCAAAATTCTCCATGCTCTGCATAAATCAGTCCCGTGTGCAGGTGCTAAATACCTCAAGCACAACCTTTTGCTTTCCTCCCAGGTCTGTTACCTCTAATCATCCTCACTGGATTTGTTTACTTCCATCAAATCAACTCAGTAGACTTTTCCCCAGAGAAAAACTGTTTGTAGATGGAAACAGATCATTCAGGCAGTGATTTGTGCAATTATGCACATCTTTGGTAATAGCATTCTATAAAACTTCGGGGAAGTTTCAGGCTCACGTGTGGTTCATACAGTTCATGTTAAGCCTTGTTGCCTTGGAGCAAAAACTGTATGCTGCCAGCTGTGCACCTGCTGAACAGTAGCCAGGCAACAAAAACAGCAGTGTTGTCTGCAGCCTGGAACTGCAGCTTCCCTCAAAAAAAGATGAGGGATATTTTTGCAGTAGTTTGATTGCACCTTTGCATGTAACAGTGTCACTATTGTAAGTAGCAGGGGGGGTTGATCCCTTTTTATTTCCTACTGCTCTGTTTTACCTTTCAAAGCACTGTAATACCTGAGAACACTTTTACAAGCAGTCAGCTGATGTGTCCCTTGTCCTCTTCAGCTGTGGAGAAACCATCTCTTACCTAAGGGACAACTTTGGTTATTTAGATAGGAGGAGATACATTTATTTACTTATTTATTTTGAGCAGAAAACCACATAACAGATAAATAAAACAATGCATTGTATTGTATTGCGTGAGTAAGGCTCAGTACTCCACCAGCTATCTAAACTGATTCAGGAATCACAGTAAATGCCAGGCAGTGAGATATTCAGCTTTTTTAATACACCAGAAATCAGAGAGACAATCTCAAAGTACAGCTGTTGCTTGGGATTTGTTGTAGTTAAAGATAGAAACTTTCTTTTCCCTGAAGGAAACCTATTAGATTGGAGTCAACAGCAAAACTGCTTGCTTCAGCTTGTTCCCTATCACTAATGGACGGAGTTTCCACGTAATGGAATCAACACATTTATCAAAACAGACAGAACAAACTAGCAGCTAGGCAATTATCTCTCATTCATGATCAATAATAAGCTTCTCAAACAATCACGTGCTTTCTAATCGAGCAATAAAACAGAAAGGATTTTAAATAATAGGATCTTGAATAGGCTCTGCAAAGCTTTAATTTTAACAATCAGTTTCCAGCAGTTTGAAGCCATCAGTGGAGGACCTGCCTGGTCAACTGCTGCATGTTCTCAGTTGTTTTGAATGCTAGGAAAATTTTAGGAAGCTAGAAAAAAAAACCAACAAAAAAACACCTAACCCATCAGTATTTTTAATAGACCAACGAAATGATGCAAATGGGGAACTTAGTTGAATAACACCAATAAGAAATACCATGTGGTATGTGGCATGTAGTAATTGGGAAGGGAAGCATCATTAGCATTATCATCAGTAACATTGATTTGGACAACTCTGTGCAAATGAGACTCACCAGATGTGCTCTGCCATTACTATGCTGCTTACCTTAAAGTCCTTACATGTACATCGCAGTTTCTGCAAAAGAAAGTACAAAAATGTAATGTGAATCCAAACAATTCATGAAAGCATGCCTAACTTGTTGATTCTGTTCTCACCAATGGGAACTTTTGCTGCAAGATGTCCATAACAAGTATCTGCCATAAGGAGGAAAGTGTGGTACTTGATATTATTGTCAGTGATTTGTAAAACACGTATAATGGCACAATGAAGTCTGTAGATGATGATGAGACCATGAGGAGGCACAACAAATGCCAACACTGGTCGTATTCATCAACTTCACATACAAAGCACTCCTATCTCTACACGATGACCCAATGCAGAACTAATGTTAGCAGAGAGGCAGTTTTAAATTCCATTGCATTGCTCCTTGTGTTTTGCTTCACACAGTGCTTACTGAGCTGTCTTTCCATCTCTAGTCCCGACAGACACCAGAGGGGGAATTTCTGCCACTAGACCAGTGTGAGCTGGACGTTGGATTTGGAACTGGAGCTGACCAGCTGTTCTTGGTTTCTCCATTAACCATCTGTCATGAAATTAACTCAAAGAGCCCCTTTTTCTGTCTCTCACAAAGATCACTAAGAAGCGAGCAGTTTGAAATAGTTGTCATCCTTGAAGGAATTGTGGAGACTACAGGTAAGACACTGTAACGTGGTGACACGTGTGCTCTAATTGTAAGTCTTTGTCTTCAGTCTTGGCAGTTGTTGATCCTTGAATGCTCTGTAACATCCTATCATAAGATATCAACCTTCATTGGTCTGCACCATGCTAAATGGCTTTCTTGGCCATAGGGTTCTGCACTACTGATTTAAGAATACATTTGAGACACTCTCTGCCAGTTCCTAGCTGGCCTCTGCAGGCATGTAGAGGAGCACAGCATACTTATGTGACTCTTGTCCTAAGCTGCACCCCTGGTCTACTCGCTTATGTTACAACGTCATTCTCTTGTCTCTGCCTCCACAGGAATGACTTGCCAAGCTAGGACCTCATATACGGAAGATGAAGTTCTTTGGGGTCACAGATTCCTCCCAGTGATGTCCCTGGAAGATGGCTTTTTCCGTGTCGATTATTCTCAGTTTCATGCTACATTTGAAGTCCCCACTCCTCCTTACAGTGTCAAAGAGCAAGAAGAAAACCTCTCTCTGTCGTCCCCTTGGAATAGTCCTGTTGACAACAAAAGCAGAAAAGAAAAGGTTTGTTCACTTGACTGCATTGATATCGCAGAAGAAAAAAACAAACTCCCTCTTAAACTTCAGAAGATTAGCTCAAGAAAGGAAGACCTGCCAAAAAGAGTCCTCAGAATGAGTTCTGGTAATGCAGGGAAGACTTGCAGTACTGGGGATCTCCTGAATATTCAAGAAATGAGTTCCATCTCCAACGGTGAAGACGGTGATGACAGGATACAGCTGAAAGCCTTAAAAATGAATGCTGAAGCTTAGACTCAGTCCAGAAGATGCCTGAAAGTATACGTGCTCTGAAGATGAAATTGGAAGGTAATCTGCCTGCCAAACTTTGCAAAATAAACTCTGATCACCTCCCTTAAGAGCAGAAGCATATGAGTCATTGTTCACAAACAGCATTCAAGACTGCTAACCTGAAGGAGTTTTTGTATAGTAAAGAAATAATTAGGTTTTCCTACTTTCTGGAAGGATGATCCCTTTTGAATAATTGTTCTGTACAGATCGAATTTATGTAGCCTAATAGAAATTGGAGAGGCAGTAAGGTTAGACTGTTGTGCCAAAGAGGTCCCTGCCCTGATGTCATTTAGCAGCATGCTCATTGCAAATCAACACTGTCTTCCATACTTGTAGATGCTTTTTCATGAAGCATGGACCAAGTCCTTGGAGATCCTTGGAGATCATCCCTAGAATTGATAACCTTCTCTACGGAAATGACCAAAAAGATGTCAGTGAAGATTTGCACCTCAAGTGCTGGCATTCAGTACCTCTTTAAAGTGTTACACAGAGTTTTCTACATGACTAGCTTGAATGAGAGGGAAAAAATACTCTTTGGTTTTAAAGCTGAAGCTGCTTGCCTTACTGAACGTCAGGACACGGTGAGAACTGGAACCCAACTCAATCCCAACACAAGAAGGACGCTGAGCTGTTGGAGTGGCTCCAGAGGAGAGCTGTGAAGATGACCAAAGGGCTGGAGCACCTCTCCTATGAAGAAAGGCTGAGGCAGCTGGGCATGTTAAGGTTAGAGCAGGCTCCAGGAAGACCTTATCATGGCATTCCCACACTTGAAGAGTGCTTATAAGCAGGAGAAGGACTGACTTTTTACACAGTCTGATAGCGATAGGACAAGGACAGCTGGTTTTAAACTAAACGAGGGGATATTTAGGTTGGATGAAAGGAGGAAATTCTTTGCATAGAGGGGGATGAGCCTCTGGCACTGCTGCCCAGAGAAGCATGGGTGCCCCATCCCTGGAGGTCTCCAAAGCCAGGCTGGATGGGGCTCTGGGCAGCCTGATCTGTTGGGGGGCAGCCAGCCCACGGCACAAGGTTGGAACCTGATGATCCTTAAGGTCTCTTCCAGCCCAATCATTCAATGATTCCTAACCACCCCATGGTTCTACACTCCCAGCATAACCCTATTTCCATTCAGCCATCCTGCTGCCCTCCTCTATACGTGAAAACAGTCGTTTTCCTCTCAGCTGGCAGTGGGGGGGTCTCACAACCCAAACCCAAAGCTCCTCCATCCCACTCCCAGCACAGCAGAGCATCCCATGAGGGAACGATCCCACCTGCCCTCCATGGGCAGAGCAGGCTGAGATGAAGAGGTGACTGCAGCCCCGTGCTGTCATTTTACACAGGTGCAGCTGTCTGTGGTTGTTCTCCTTCCCCTCCCCCCAACCTTCACCATTATATACGTGCTGAAATCTGTGCTTTTACACATTAAACGTACCACGCTGGGACATTTAGATCACCCGCAATGACTCACCCCAGAACATCCAGAACCGACAGACAATAAAATCACGTTCACTTTGGGCCTCGAGCGTTCTTATGAGTCAGTCAGCGCGGAGCCCAAGTGACGCAAAGACAAGAAAGACTTCGCTTCTCCACAGAGCTCCGCGCCAGCGCTGCCCTCTGCTGCCCGGAGCGGGGCGAGGCAGCGGCTGCCCCTCAGCCTCAGAGCGCGCGCCTCCGCGCATGGGCGCTTCCGCCCTACGGCGGGACGCATGCGCAAAACCGCCGCTCGCCCTGCCCTGCTGCCGCGCAAGCGCGCTGCCGTCTGCCTGAATGGCAAGCATGCGCGTTGCTGCGCCCGGAAAACTCGCTCGCCGATTGCGCGAAGAACGCATGCGCAGTGAGGCTGTGCGCGCGCGCCGTGGCCCGACGCATGCGCACTACCCCTTGCTGAGGCGCCCAGTAGGCCTTGGGTGAGCTGCTGCTCCCTTCAGAGACCCGGATCGGCAGCGCTGCGAGGAGCGGGCGGCAGAAGCGATGTCACCGCCGTTGACTGGGCCACACCTCTGCTGGGCCAAGCCTGTCGGAACGTGACAGTGTATTGGGAGCTGTAGTCCTCCAGCCAGGAGCTGGGACATGTAGTCTTCCGGAAGCACTTCCGGTCAGCCATGTTGGACCGCATTGCATTCTGGGATTGGTAGTATTTAGCACCGCACATCTGGCGGCCATGATGGCCGTAGGGCACCCTGGGAGATGTAGTCTTCTCCCTTCACCAGCGCTGGCATTTACCCAAAGGATGACTTCGCCCCAGGAGGTCTTTGTCTTGCTTCGCCTCATCAAATACCTTCTTAACCGGCGACAAAGCCATTATAAACACCATAATACTTATGCTTGTCAGCGTGGGGTTCACTAGGGCACAATTCAGGCATTAATCTCAGGATTTGTGAGCATCCCTCTGGCCAGGATGGCTCCACACCATGCATCCATTATGGGCACGTCCCCTGCTGCAGATTATGCTGCTCCGTTCCTTTTCCCTCACCATGCAAAACAAGCATTTCCCAAAGAGGGAAAACAACACATGGAAATGGTGATAATTGGGAAAGGTCCCAGAAACCACAGTGCAAACCACAGCACTGGGGTGATCACTGATGAGCTGGTTTGTCAATAATCCCCAACGTCCCCCCTGAATCACAATGAGGCATCTGAATCCCCCAGATCTGCTGGACCCCATTTATGCCCCACCCCTGTTCCCTGGCCCAGGGTTGATGACACCCATGGGGCGAAGGCTCAGAGGCAGCTTTCAAAAATGGCAAAACTGGAAGAAAATGGGCCCTTTGTGCAGGGAACAGCCGGAGGGCACTTCAGGCAGGGTGACGCTAGCAGCAGCACCGGCTGAAGTGCTGCTGTACGGTGTTGAGGACACAGCACGTTTCCCATTGTCCCTGATCCAGCCTCTAAATTCAGGCGGATGAAAGTAAGTCTGAATTCTCCCAGTGGGGATAGGGAATTACATCTCCGGAGCTGGGATGGAGGCTCTGTGTTCTTCTGCTTATTTTGAAGCTGCAGTCTCCACACTCAGCATCTCAAGCCCAGTGCAACTCAGTGGGAAAATCCATCCTCATTGCAAAAACACAGCCTGAAATGGCAGATAGATATAAAAACCATCCGGCATCATCAGCCCTGAGCCACGATCGGCGCATGGGACAGGATAGGATCTGAAAGCCATCACAGCACACAACAGCTGCACTAAACCCCCACAGACCTCCTGCTCACTGCCGGAAAAGCAGCGTTTCCTCTCCGCAAAGCAGCCAGAAGCGTTTGACACCTCTTTGCACCCCAGGGATTGATGTGAATGAGGCCGTGGAGCTTCGTACCGCAGCAACACAGGGCTCAATCCCACTAACAGGCAGCAAAGGCAGCATTCCCTTTTCCCAGGACTGCAAGCTGTCACCTTCATTGGAGTCTTTAACGCTGCTGCAGCCATCCACTGTATTTTAGGGGAACATTCCTCCACAGGGCAAAACCTTAGTAAGCCAAGATGCCAGCCCAGGCTGCAAGAAGCGGCTCATTGTCCTCCAGCGATGCAGCCGTGGCGATGTCAGGAACAAAAAGCCTCCTCTTGTGCAGCCTCCCAAGCGTCCCCCAGCCCTGAGTGCTCTCAGAAAAAAAATGTATGGCATGAGATGTGCAAACGCCGGAGAATTCAAGTGCCCATCCGCCAACAGCCCCAGGGGTGTGCATCCCAAGCTGCTGCAGTCCTGCCCTAAGCCTTGCAGCCAAAAACCACTGAGCAGAGGGTATTTGTGCACGATGACTTCGCTTTTGTTTCCTTTTTTTCCCCCTCATTCTTTTTGCAATCGATGCATTCCCTGAGCCACCTCCATTTCCACGTGTGCGTTGCTGTTGTTGTTTCACGACATCCTTCAGATGAGAGAATTGCTTTCAGCAGAAATTCAATTTTTCCAACCCAAAATGTGCTTTTGGTTTGCACACAACAGGACGGGGCTCAGACTGCTACCACATTCCTCCTGCCCGGACCCGAGCCCAAGCAGATCCAAGCCCCACACAGGGCATGTAACCCAGTTAATCTCAATGAGCATTTAAATCAAATTAGTTAAACTACATTAAACCCCTGTGAGGACACGGTTCAGAGTGGAAACGGCCTTAATGTGATTTCAGCTGACTTCCCTGCCACAATTTGCAAGTCAGAGAAATCGAGTTAAAGGCTGTTTTCATTCTGAACTCTGTCCACACAGGGCCTTAATGCAGTTTAATTAATCTGCTTTAAAATTGAGCCTGTCTTTCATTTGGGCAACTTCACCTGATTCACCCCGGGGAAGAAAACCCGCCTGGCACAGCTGTGCTGAGTCTGAGGCTGGAAAATCCTGGAGGGTTTGGAGCAAGCCGTGATTATACCTAATCCCAACAGGCAACATTTTGGGGTGAAGCCGCTTGTAGCAACCACCCATGTGGCTGGAATTGGAAACATTGGGCTTCCCAGAGTCCGGCAGAGCCGCGGGCACCGGGGCCAGGCTGGCTCTGCTGGCCTGGATGCTGCTCTCGATGCTTATCGCTGCTTAACAAAGTTTCCTCCTCGGTGGCAGAGAACAGCAGGCTGAAAGCAGCTGCATTAATCCCTGTGCTGCTCCCAGCGAGGCTGTAATGGCTGCTAATTGCCGGCCAGCAGCCCTAGGAAGCTGGGGCTGAGCAAGGGAACGCTGTGGCCCTCAAAACCAACAGCCCTGTTATGTTCCTCACACCACCCAACCATTTCCTAGCTCCTTTCTCACACCGTCCAGCCATTCCCCAGCTCCTTCCCCCCCACCTCCCCAATTTAGCTGAAAAAAAAAAAAAACAGAAAAGGGGAAGGGATGGAGCCTCATCCACATCCCTTTCTATTCATTCCTCTACCCCACAGGGCTGTGCTTTGGGGTCTGCTGCAGATCCTGCCGCTGGAACACACACAGGATGTGATCCTGAGCCTCCAGCAGAGCTCCCAGCAGCAGGTACCTGGCTCCCCAGCAGCACAGCGTGCTGCAAGCAGGGTTTACTCCATTGCTCAATTCCCATTTTCTCTGTAAAGGTAAAATGCATTCCCCATAAAGGAGTTCCAATTAAAAGGGAGTTAATGACTTAATGAATCAGAAGAAAATCTGCTTGCATTAGCAGTGAACCACTGACCCTCTTCTCATTGTGGCTATCAGCTTTTTAATTGGATACATTTTTATTTCCTTCCCAACAAATGGACTATTGGCTGAGCATGTGCTCAGAGAGCAAAGGGGATGTGGGGGGGAGCAGGAAAAGCCCAGCCTGGAAGGACCCCCCCCAGCAGCACCGACCCAAAGCCTCAGCCATACCTCAGCTTCTGCTCTTTATCTCCCACTGGTGAAGACTGCAGCACTGCAGACAAAGGCTTCTACGATGCTCAGGACTGTTCAAACCAAAAAATAAGGGTCAGACACTAAACCTATACTTATAGCCCCAGGAGGGGCTGAACTCTCCTCCTCATTAGCTCATTAACTGCTTGTTAATTCCCTATCACATGATGAGGAGCATAATGAGGAGGTTTTCCTCTTCCCAAAGCTCAGCACAGTCATGCTCACCTGAAGATACACTCAGCTGCTCATATCCCAAGCAGCACTACGTGTCATCTTTACCCCCAGCCTTGGGGGCTCCTCTCTCCTCTTTTCCTCTCCCCTTTTTTTTCTTTCTTTTGACACCTTCATCACTTCTCCCATCCATCTGCTGCTCCCCCCCCAGGAGTGCAACCACCCGAACACAGTGGTGATCAATGCTTTGCTGTGCTGCCATTCATGTTGTATTCATTGCTGGCTGCACTCTGCCCTGCACCCCATTGCAGAGGGGCTCTAAAAGCATTTCTATTTGTGCCCCTGTGTTACAGGAAGCTCTGCAGGGCGCTGCCCTGTGCTAGCACAGGCATGAGGGTGGGCAGAGAGGTGGTGGAGAAGACCTGGGTCCTCTTTTGGAGCCTATTTTTGGGTGGTGGGAGTGACTTTATTAGGGATGTGGGTATGCTGGAAGATACAGGAGCAGTCCCTGGTGTACTGAAAGCAAAACTAAGAAAGAAAATCTTTGTCTGGGGGAGACATAGCCAGGCTTTGAGGAGAAGTCTATGGTGCTGGGGTCCCCTCAGAGGGGAAGATCCCTCACTGGGAAGTGCTGATGCACTGTGCGTGGTTCTGAGTGTTATGGGGACAGCTCTAGAGCAAAGCACTCAATCCAGCCTTCTGCTTTCAAACCAGGACCACCACATTCCACTCAGTGTGCAGAGCTGGAATCCTCCAATGCTGGACTCCCTCTGTACAGGGACAAACCCTGCCCTGTCTCTCTGTGCCAGTCCCTCACACAATAACACTTATTCTCACCCTGCTACAGGCAGCTGCCCACCCTTGCTGTGCCCCCTGGCCCAGGAGCAGGTTGACATCTTGGGGAAGGGGGGGGGGGGATCCAAAGCTCCCATCCCACTGTCAGTGGCCGAGCAGAGCAGCCTGGACCTGCTGGCTGTTTCCAGGGGAACTGCGAGGGGGTCAAGGAGAGGTCTGGGATGTTTTAGTCTTCCTGTAATATCCTTAATTGCTCATTTATTTAGTGCAATTAGTCCCAGGTGCTTGCTGTTGTCTGTGTGACCCCGGTCCCGCCGGGCTGTTCCCAGCGGCCGCATTGATCGCT